AGATTTTATTGCCTCAGCTTCTGTCTCAAAAGCATCCCTATGAAGATTTTTTTCTGTGTATAGAGGTAAACATATTGCAGAAATCTGCTGTGCATTGATTCTCTTAATGATAATTTGCACATTAACATGGAAGCATTGCTCACACACTACTGAAAGCAGAAATTTGTTTTTCAAGTCAAGCTATATTAAAATGTATGAAAATGGGCAATTGCTATAATTTTTAATAATAAACGGAAGCTTGTGGTGTAGAGTTGTTCATATGAAGTAACAGAAACTTACCCTTGAAAGAAGAACATCATACCTGGATAGAAACAGTGTTATTTTGTACAAAAGTAGGAATTTGTATGGAAATAATATTACATGGAGAGATGGGCTTTTGTCCCTTACCCACAGGGGACACAGAAGGTGAAGTTTTGAGGCAGGTGGAGGGAAGATGGAACTTTTTCTTTTCTTAACTGTGGTTTCTACTCAAGAGAAGTTGGCTTAAGAGGTTGTTCTGGATGACAGATGAATCTGGTCTTTCTTCAAAAGCTGCTATTGATTTCATGCTGTACGTGCTGATCTGACAAAATGTTCACCAAGTAAATGCAATATGAGCTCCTTGAGAGAGGCTTCGTAGAGAAATCAAATCAAACAAAAATGGGAGTTTGGGCAGTTCATGCATTCCACAGTAATACTTTAGTCTTTGTGATGTTTTAATGGATCAGAAGGGGATGCTGAGCTGGACAGTTAAACAAAGACCAACAAAAGACTTTTGAGCACAGCCAGAGTCATGGCAGGTACTTGAAGGCTGCTCTCCCACCTTCTCAGTCTCTACTTCTGCAGCCTTGTTTCTCTAGGGCACCTCCTATGTTCCCCTTAGTGATATACAGCAAAGGTTACCTGGATTACTGCTCGTGCAGTTTTGCCAGTTCCAGGATTAGCAGTGTTACCTGTGAGATCTTTACAAGCTGCCAAGATTCATCCAGGGTGAGGTCTAGCCCACCCAGCGTGTGCAAGAGTTATCCTGGTTCAGTTTGCCCCCCTTTTCAGAAATTCTTATGGGTGTCTCTGCCCTGTGAGATCACAGGACCAGTCTGGGGGTTCTACCTGCATCTCTTGAGTTACCCCAAGCCTCGTGATCCCTTGCAGGTGGCATGGGATGCCCCTTCCCAAGCATCCTGGAGGAGGGACACAGGGCTGCTCAGAGCTGCTTTCTGCAAACCACCCGTGCCCAGGCAGGACAGCAATGTCACCTCTGAATGAAGTGTAGCTTCTGCAGATGACATTCCCTTCACACTTGTTTGCTGACTGAGGGCCTTCAAGGCTGGTGTGGTCCAGGAGTGTCTGCACAAGCTTGTCACGAGTGGGTGGCTGCCAGGATCCTGCTGGGGCAAATGCCTCTCTTGGGGCGTTGGAAATACCTTGGTCTCTACCCCCATGTGAAACAGAGGGAGCGTGTAGCTTCAACCAACCTATTTGGGTCTGCATAGCCCCATGCAGATTGTGAAGGGGCTGTGTCACAACGCATGAAATTGGGGTTGGGATCTTGCCAAAGACAAGGGTCTGCTGTGCAGGACCGTGAAGATGACAGTCCCCTGCCCCACAGCTCAGACGGCTGTCACCACTTTCTGTTGCCTTGGTGTAGGGCAGAGGGGACTACAATGAAACCGAAGAGCAGAAACAACCCTCTGTTAACTAGGACATATAACTGCTAGCTTTATCCTGATATTTTCTCTAACCTGTACACTTGGTTTAGCTCTCAGGCTGCACTGCTCTTGCCAATGGGACTTGGGGGTTGGCCTCCAGCCTTTGGGATAGGGCTCAAAAGCTCTTGAAGGCTCCAGGACCAATATTGTTCTACCCAAGAGTTTGTTATAATCTCCTCCCTTTCAAACCTAATCTCACCCCATCACAGCCGTTCCAACATTAATGAGTATTTTTTAGAGCTCAGCTTTTCTGCTAAATGATAAGTTTTCCTCTTTTATTAGTCCATTAGGAGAGTTATTACAGCTCAAGTGCTCTGTCCTACTTGGATGAAAACTACTTAGATAAATAGCAGTGAATTCCTTGTCCTCAAATGACGGTTGTTCTGGGTGCTGGTACATGACATGCCTTAGTGTGTCCCATCTGCTGAATAAAGGTTGGGAGGATTAGGAGAACACGGTCCAAAGGCACTACGGGGTAGTGTTGGGAGGGGAGCTGGGGTGGACGTATAAAACTTGTGGAGAGGTGAGAGAAGCAATGGAAAACCTCTGAGGGGACAAGATCCATAGAAGAGATGAAAAATGGATTTGTAGGGAAGCCTTCAATCTTCTCAATTCAAAAGGATTTTTTTTAACCTGATTTCTAGAGGAGAAAGCCTTGGTTAGCAAGGAGAAATGATGTCCAACAGGTGCGAACATTCACTTCAGAGTAGCCTTAAAACTTCATATTGCTTTAAAAAACACAAATAACTTTCCTCCAGTAATGTGCACCTGAACAGCCTGGTGTGTGTGTCTGCTCCATTGCATTTCCTCTGGTTTCCCCCCAGGAGGTGAGATTCACCTCCCTACCCAGCAGTGTGGAGCTGCACCTTTGCTAAGCGGGAAATCGGTGGTTGCCACACTGATGAGTAATTCTTGAAATCCCCCGACATTAACTGCCTTCTTCATTATTGTGGCTATGGAAGAGCTATTTTGTATTTCATTGATATCAGTGTGGGTGGTGTGGACACATCCTCTTTTAAGTCATGCAGGAAGGCAGCAATTAGTCTTAAGAGTTTCAATCTACAGCGTGGCAAAGCACGATTTTGCTAGTGTCACACCAAGCTTACTGGGCTCTACCCTGTTCCCAAAATACCCTTCCTTCTCAATGCTCAGTGGTGCTGACTCCTGCACTTTTGGTCCCCAGCACTAGCCTTTGACCCGAGCTGTGCAAAGCAGAGGCAGGTGATGGGGCAGCACACGAAATTGTGCTGGGAGATGCAGAACCCACAGCCTATGAGCCCTAATTCCCTTGGGGAAGGAGGCTCAGCTGTTTCCCCCCCACTGCAGGTGCACATTTACTTCAGGCTACTCCACACATTGCCAGGCTTCATGGACTCTGCCCACTGGATTGGAGTTTCTAGGTTTTCTCCTATTAAAGTTCATGCTAGCTAAACTAAATACAAGATTTACAAAGGGAGGTCAGCAAATTGCTGCCACACCCTTTGTGAATATGTAATTGGGTGTACTCTTCCTGCTTTACATCAATTAGCGGGTGAGGAACCGTGTCACCTGTGCACGTCCCTCTGCATGTCAGTGAAGCCAGGACTGTCCACCCAGAGATGCAGAGGTTCAGAAAGGCCCAATCACCAACCCATTTCAGTTGAGCCTGTCTCTTAAAACCAGCACATCAGTAAGTCCTGTGGCCTTTAGCCCAGTGCTGTCATATCTCAAGGGATCCTGCTGAGAAGATCCAGCCTTGACAGGGAGGAATTGCAGGCATTCTGGTTCCTTAATGCTTAATTTCCAGGTCTGCGGATCCCAAAGTTTCTCTTCAGGCTCTAACAGAAGGTTTCTGCTTTTTTACATCATGCTGACAGCTGGGAGGAGCCCAGGAGCTCTCTGGCTGGTTTTGGCCTCCGCTGCAGCAAGGGCAGAGGTTCCCTAGGTGCCGCGGTGACTTGGCACGCAGCAGGTGGCTCCTGCGGGAGCAGAGGAGGCGAGGGATGCCTCTGTCCTCCCTCTCGTACGCTGGGGTTTGCATCCGTGTGTCTTTTGCACTACAAACTGCAAGTCTCCTGCCAAATGATGGAGGTGCCTGATGAGATGGATGGGTAGGGAGCCAGGAGTGTGTGTGGGCGTGTGTGTGAGCTCAGGCTGTGTCCTACATGGTGGCTGTTGCAGGCTGAGCTCCTGGTGGCACTGATGACAATAGCCTGGGAGAGAAGTCAATGCCACAGCAACTATGCACAGGAACCAGCTTTCTTAACTGTTTTATAAAGCTGACTTTATTTTTTTTTTCATCTCGGCTATCTGCTCTGCCTCCAACGAGGGGCAGACATGAACATCAGCAGAGGTTGCATGATAAAGAAAATCCAGCCACGCTGGGCTCAGAAAATTTTATTTAGTTAGCTTATAGGAGTGCTATTTATCAGTATTAATCTAACACTGTTATCAGAAGACATTCGTGCAACCTCCTGAAATTACCTGGCTATGTGTGATATGCCACATATAAATAAATGCCATTGTAAATGTCAAGTCATACAGGAAGATAAATAAAGTAGTTTCCTGGGCTCATTAGAGCCGAAAGATGGGCTTTTATAGCAGTATGGAGAGAATTGCACAATGTAGTTCCATATGGCTTATGAAATGTGTATGAAAACCATTTTCTCCTACCCATCCTAATTATGCTATATAAATAGAGTCACTATTTTCCTTGGAGCACTTACTTAGCTGGAATACTTTTTTTTTTTTTTAAAAAAACCCAGCATAATCGCTTGTATGATGCATTTCTGTAGGCCCTTAACAGATCTCTAAATCAAAATGCAATTATTTATAGCAATAACATGACCTTTTACTAATTGGGAACGAAAATGTTACACAATAGGTGACAGTTGTCATGAGTGCTCAGCACTGTCAGAAGTAATTTCGGCATTTGGCTCTACATCATAGCTGGGGTAAGTGTTTAAATAATGTGTAATAAGTTTTTAAATTATGTGTATATATGAAGTTTTGTGGGAGCGTGAGAGTGCTTATGGAAGGAGGCCAGTTTGCACTACCCATGGCCAGGCAGCAGATGCCAAAACACTATTTTTGACCCCGCATACAATTTTGTCACAGAACCTGTTGACAGAGGACTCCTCCTGCAGCCATGTCACTGCAGACAGCACCAAAGCCACGGGTTTAATAGCAGCTGATAAGAGGGTGAAAGGGGGACAGCAGAGCCAGATGGGGCCAAATTCTGTTGGGCTGCATATGCTAAAGACTCATATGAACAGGAGGAGACAACAGAGATGGAGGGAGGAGGATTCCAGAGCAGTAAGGATGAGATGTATGTTGAATATATATCTTTTTATTATTCAACATTGAGACGGCGGTAGTGCTCAGAGGCTGTCGGTTTGGACCTTGTTATACCAGATAACATAAACACAGTGCACACGGCAGTCCTTGCTCCAGAGAGCAAGGAAAGCCACGTTATGAGACATATACACAGCACAAACAGAGGGTGCCTCTGCTTTTCTAGCTTGTCTGTAGCCCAGTAAGACCCTCCCTACCTGGAACCAGTGGGTGACAGTCACCAGAGCAGGCTGGCAGTAGTGGAAGAACTGGCCCTTTGAAGGAGTACACAGGCCTACATGTGGCAACACAGTAAACAACAGCCAGAGACAGAATAAATGAGTCACTTTTCTAGCATATTTGAATACTGTTTAAATATAAACATTGCAAATTAATAACTCTAACTGAGAAAAAATAAAATTAGATGCAAAAATACACCAATGGTATACTGCATATGCGTATAAATACATTACATGGTTTGCACAGTCATTATGCGTCTTCCTTCCGGACTGACTTTCTACAGACTGATACAAAAGTTGAAATAGAAAAAAAAAAAAAAGGGAAAGGTCTTCAACTAAACACATTGTTGTTTTGGCAAGCTTCCCCAAAACTTGCTGGTTTGATTCGCTTCCCAAAAAACTGAGCTGTAAAAACCAAACCTAGTTTCACAACAGAGCCATTCGTGTTTCCACATATCTACCTTACAGCAAGAGGGGAAAGAGCAGGCAAGGAAATGGTGACGCATGCAGGACACGCATACAATACGGTTTAATGGCACTTGAGACCAGTTCCACCACCCATTCAAAGCCTGTTGATGTTAATGGGGTCTGGAAAAGTCCTCTCCTTGATAAGGAGGGCTTAAGTGATACCTGAGGTGCTTTACTAGATGCTGGGGCTTTGCCCACATGATCCGTTGCAACAGGCATCTTGCTCCTGACCTTCTGTTAGCAGGGTGCCACTGCCGTGCCAATGCGTTGGATGGGGTCACTTCGGAGGGGCTGGCAGCTGCCGGGGGGGTCGGGCCCTCCCCGCTCATGGAGGTGAGGGGATCACACGCTTCCCTGGCTGGTCTGCTGCTGCTTGGCCAGCCAGGGCTTCTCCAGGGCTGGTTGGGCAGTGCCGATGCCCCCGGGCAATGCGGCTGCATGGGGCAGAGGGTGCAGCCGGGGCCCCTCCAAGCCCCGGGTCTGGGGGTGCTGCTGGCAGGAGTCCTGCCGCGGCTGAGGAACAGCTCCTCACCACCCAAAACCTGGTACCGCTCCCATCAGCCTAACGCAGCCGCCCCTGCCCGGCTCGGAGGAAGGCAGATAGGGTGCAAGCATGCTCACATGGGACTTCTCCAACATCTCTGAATTTTGGCTTCAGTTTTTTGTTTCCCTCCGTTTCATTAGAAGACGAAAAGCCACATAGGAGGTGCCTGCTCGGTCTGGACCAGTTGGGGAGTCAGAGATGTGGCCTTCGCGGCACCCTGTGAGGTAGACGGAGGTCAGAGAACCAGGGCAGTGTCCGGGCAGAGAACGTGGTGGCACCCAGGAGACCTTGGGGAGTGTCCATGACTGGTGTGAGGAGCAGCCCTGATCCTTGCAGGCATTGCTTCTCCCGTGGGCACGCCTTCCTCTGCATGGAGGGCGGTGATTCCCATCGAGATGCTGAGCACCAGACTAGGACAAAGTCCTTTCCGTAGGGAAAGGTGGCAGTGTGCACTGTGCATCGCGCCGGGGGATGGTCTCCATCCTCAGCTTAGCTGACAGTCCAGCCCAACGGTGTGCCAAGGGGTGCCTTGGTCTAGGACACATTTATGTTGGAGAAGAGCGGGGCCCCTGGCAGCGTGGATGCCGCGCTGTCTGCCAAGTAGCCCAGGATGCTTTTGAGTTCACTGCGTGACAAATTGGCTTTGATGTACAGGAATGCTTCCAGGTGCCTTTTGCTGTGGAAGAGAAATGAGCAGGCATTATGTCCCCCTGCAGAGCTCTGCGTGCGGGTTCCCTTGAACAAGGATGTGGCCCCCCCACACCCTGGCAGGTGCTGAGGTCCCTGGCAGATGCCAGCTCAGCCTCTGGCAGTCCTACATGGGACCCAGCACTGTCCCAGGAGGTTTGGGGTAGGGTAGGGAATCCCCAAGGCAAAGGAGAAAATAAGGCCAGAATTTGGAATATATAAACAGGCTTTTAAAAATAGTTTATTTTGTTGTCTGATGGCACTGGGATTGCGACAGCCTGGCAGGCAGCCCCCACCCATTCATATAGACTCAGACTACATGAACCTCACCTATACTCATATTTGGCTGTTTCCCGGCTCAATTAAAATTCCATACAAATATTTGCAAATCTGTTTCAGCATCTCTTACCGGATATCTGGGTATGTCGTGGCAAGCGTCGCAACTTCAATTTTAATAGCACCTAAATCCTGAAGTCGGATTATTTCAGCCAGCTTGGGGAGGGCAGAATTCAGCCACGTGGCTTGAGACCCCTGCCAGAAGAAAAAGCGATCAGCAGGGCATCGTGGAGGTGCAAACCTCCGCCGAGCCCAGGATCTGTGCTTCATGGTGGATGCAGTCAAGACAGGTCCTGAAGCTGCTTCCTGGCAAGAGGGAAGGACACGGCAGTGATTTTAGGTATCGAACTGTTTTCAGTGATGTTTCTAGACTGAGCCAGCCTTGGTGAAATCGGATTAGCTTTGTGGTGGTTTTTAATCTCCTCACACAAGTGCTGTAGGGTTTGCCATAAGGCTGACGTTTCCACATCCACCTCAACAGACTCTGCTCTTCCCTCCCATCACATTTTCCTTTCCTTGGGTTTCTACGCAGACTGGGGTGTGTACGAGGTCTGGTGGGCCGGGTAGAGCCCTGCCACGTGCTGTTCTCTCCCAGCTCTGCACACAACCCTGCCTTTAGCATCTCCAGGCATTATCAAAATCCACTCCCTTCCCACTCAGGTAAAAACCCTGACTGGACCTGTTTTCTGGCCACTGGATATCCCACAGTGCCTGACCTCCCACCCGTGCTGAGTGATGCTCAGTCTTGCTCCTTTTCCAGTCAGATGTGCATGGGGTGGTGGAGGGTGGGGTTTGACTTAGTTTTTAGCTATTTTATAGTCAAATTTAGAGGCATGGAATGAGGGAGGTGATTTTAGAAGGCAGAGAGGGGTGTTTCAGCCATGCTTCTTGTGTACAGAGACCCTGTGCTGCCCGTTCCAGCCCCTGACTGACCTAAAAGCAGCAAAGTGTGGGAAATCAGGGGTGAGAGGGAAGCGTCAAAACCCAGACTCCACGCAAGTTTTACTGAAATGAGAGCAGCGCAGTGTTTAGATAAATCTTCTGATCCTATTGATATAAATCTTCAAAAGGAAACCACTGCCTATGGGGCGAAGGAGGATGAAATCATGGCACTCCATCCAGGGGAGGGACAGGGTGGGGGGGGGGGGAGCCTTCCTGCCTGCAGACACTTGGAGACCTCTTTCTGCCCAAGGTCCTGTCTTCCAGGAAATTAAGCTGAGTTGGAAAAGTTAATGAGAGGCCCCAGAAAATTAATTTTCCTGTTTTTCAGTGTGCTTGTGCCCTGTGCTGTTGTGGATGTGGCGATCGCTCACATACATTGCTGGTGCAGAAGGCTTCCAGGTCAGCGGCATTCTTGGAGATATGTTGGGCCAGGTTTTGCTGTTGTCCTGGGGCTTTCAGGCTGACTTTCCTCTTCAGCAGCCTCACGATGTACTCTTTAACCAAATGGGCGTGGATCTTCTCGACAATAGCCTGTTGGGAAGCAGAGGGGGGATCATCCGTCTATCTCTTGCTTGGGGACAAAGTGAACTATATGTGTGAATGGAGGACAAAGTGGGTGGGTGCTGTAACACATGCTGCACCAAATGCCTGCTGCTGATCACCCGGCAGGAACGGCACTGGTTGCCAACCTCCCCACGACTGGTTACCCGACATCCTAGATGCCGAGAATTTCTTTGTATTCAAACTAATGAAGAGCGGGAATTTCCAAATGTTGTTTCCTTCTGGGAAGAGTTTCAAGCAAAAAGATCTCCATGTGTTAGAGAAGTAACAGGACTCCAGAGAAACAGGAATTCATGCTGCTCCTCCTGTTCCTCTCTCCAATACACAAAACATCATAATTTTGTTTCCACTACTAAAAAGACAAAGGCAGGAAATAAAATATTTTTTTTTATGTGGTGATGTTTCATGTATAATTCAGCACCACTGAGCATGTGGTTGTGGCTCAGTTATGTGAGATTAGTCCCAGCTGCACCCATCTCCCCCAGTCCTTAGGGCAATCAAAGGAGCCATGAGACAGAACCATGCAATTGCATCCGTGTTTCAAGGTTGCTAAACCAAACCCATACATAAATAAAGCCATATTTTGGGTGGTCCCTAGAGCACCTTCTCTACAGCAGGGGTGGTTTTCTCTGCAAACGTTGCAGCAGAGCTACAGGAGTCTGCTTCTGCTGGAGAAGAGTAAGATTTATATGGCCAACTTAGGCAAACTGCACACTGATGGAAATCCTGCCTGACAGAGCTCTATGATGCCAGGTCAGCTCATGAGCCTAACACAGGTCAAGGCCACTCGGGTCACAGAGGATCGGAGCTGAAAATGCAGCCTCGGCATCCCAGAATCCCTCCAATATTTCTCTTGGACTTACATGGTAGAAAGGGTCCTTGAGGGTCCGGAAGTCTGAAATATGTTTGCTGGTGGTTTTAATGATCTCATTCATAATTTCATTGCTGGAGTCCCACTTATTTTCTGTAAACTTCTTATAAATTGGCTGAAAAAAGGAAAATCTGCTTAGTGCCCTCAAAACAAATTCTATGCACATGTATATTTAGCATTTCGATATGTACAGTATCCTACATAGCGACAGCATGGCATGCAATCCTGTGCAGGGACATGTGACGAGAACTTACAGGGGCAGGGGAAGAGGGGGCTGTATTGGGTTTGTGTCCCCTTCTTATTTCCTCATGATGAAGAAGACTGAGGGCTGGAAAGGCTAACATTGGGGATGCTTTTTTTATTTCCACATTTTTAATGTGTTGTCCACACCATCTTGTCTGATTAGAGGATTATGGAACCATCACGGAAAAAAAGTGAATCATTATGAGATGTTTTCAATCACAGTTTTTCTTGGACACAGTAAAGAATTATGAAAATAAAAAAAGCACCCCTGCTCTGCCATGCCTTCCAAAAGGCCCTACAGAGAAAGCAGGAGAGATCGTAGTTGAACATTCCTGACTCCTACGTCTTCCCCTCCACCACATTTGCTTAACTTAAAAAGCTTGTGTTATATATAAAAAAAGAAAGAAATAAAAGAAAAGAAAGAAATCAAAAGTGCCTTTCAGGCCACCTTTACAAAGCAGCTAAAAGCTGTTCATGTCATTTGTGATTGCTACCTACAGTTTGGAGTGTAAACACTTGCAGGTTGAGACTCTCCCTCCTGCAGCAGTTATCTCAGATGCCATCAGCACATTTTAGGCTTGCCTGCACAGTCATGCCTATGTAGCTGTGCCCATTTTGCCTACAGGCTTGAGGACCAACTCAAGGAGAGGTGAGTCTGAGTTTCCTGGCAGCAATGGGAGCTGGGGCCGATGCCGAGAGGTGACCTGGCCCAGAGCCCTTTTGAACTTTGCTGCACTTGAGTTGGGGATTTGGGCAACTGATAGTGTGGCAGGAGAAGACGGCCAGCACCGGCACAGGCTGAGCCATGGGGCAGGAGGGTGTGGGGCACAGATACGGTACCTTCAGCTGAGCAAAGAGCTGCTGAAGCAGCACATCAAAGCCGCTGTTTTCAATGTCGCCGAGCATGCTGAGGGTACTAGCTTTATTGTCGTCCTTTTCTGCCATGTTTTTCTCTGCGTAGTCTCTGCAAGGAACCATCACCAAGGTCAGAATAGCCTGTCTCCAAACAAGAGAGAAATTCAGACATCTCCAAACTTCCCTCTGCAGGCAGGTGGACCTTTCTCTCCCAGCTCTAGAGTACCTTCCCTCTATTACGCTATCATCCTGCAGAGGAAGGAGCAAAGCCCTTTCTTTTGGACCCTTACCGAAAATTCCAGCAGTTGTTAATATTTGCAATCAGTATAGGCCTGTAGTATCTGTGCTTCTTGCTTTTCTCCTTAAAGTCTTCAAAAGCATCCTTGTAGCTGCAGGGGAGATGGGAAGGGGAGAGGCGGATGAGAGCGTGCCCGGGGTGGCCCTGCCAGCCCTGCTGCCCCACGCTGCCCCACCGCACCTTTTCAGGAAGGCAGGCAGCTCCTTCGACAGGCGATGCGACAGCTCCTCGCCCACTGCCACGCTGATGTCCTTGGCTCGCTTCTGGCCACTGTAGATACTCTAGCAAACAAGATCAATTTTAAACGCTGTCTGCTCCAAAAAGGCCGGATTCACTGGTTAAAAGCATCTTTAAAATGCATTAACTGAGCCCAGCTCTCCTGCATCTGCCCCGGTGACTGAGCCAGGGACAATGCAGAGCAGCTATACTTATTTGGTGGGTTCAAGCCAATTTTGAACTCCATTTTCAACTGGGGAGAGAGGTGAAGAGGTATGAAAATCTATAAAATAGCTGAGAAAGTGGGAAAATGACACTTTTTGCTTTTTTTCCCGAATGTCATATGATTGCATTAAAAAAAAAAAAAACCAAACCAAAAACCAACTTAAGCACAACCACCTCAATACATGAAAGGTTTTTTTTTTTTTTTTAAATAAACTCTTCTAACCCTCTGCAGCCAGAGGAAGGAGGGCGCTGAGCGTGGGGAAAGGGCGTGAGCACTGGGAGCAGCTCTGCCTGTGACAGCTTCCCAGAGAGCAAGCAGGGCAGCCGCTCTGCGCTGCTTCCTTGCTGGGCTAAGCCTGCCTCTTGTCTCTCTGCTGCTACGTTACTCAGTGCCTAATGCCTTGGCATGGGATGGGGGGGTGCAGAGGAGACTGCACAGGGAGAAATGAAGGTGGCTTTCTTGCTCATTTTGTTTATAGAGCAGTGTGTCTCCGAACGTGGTAGACCAGAACGGTGCCCGACCACAGGTTTGGGCTCCCCTGTACCACCCACCTCTGCTATAGCCCTCCATAAGCAACCTGGCTTTTTGCTTTCCTGCACTGCCCATAGTTGGTCTTAAATCCTAAATATGTGCAGGATGCAATTGTTTATTTTTAGTATACATCTGTATTACCTGGATAACAAATATTGCTAGTAGTTCACTCTGGAAATGCCCATTTAGTTTCTCCGGTTCTTTGTCTTCTTTCCATCTTTGTATTTCTTTATCTAAACATTTGCTCAACGAATTCTTGATAGCAGCCTTTAGGGAAGGAAGAACAACAGCATTTACCACAAAGTGGATGTAGCAGCTCCTGCCTTATGCAGGTTTTACTCACCCACCCACCATTTGTCTGGCTCAGCAGACTTTTTCCTCAGTCCTGGGTGAAAAATAAAGTCTCTTTGTTACGAGATGCCTTATCCACCCCTTCATGGCAGCAAGGACAAACACCACCACCCCCCTCCCACCCCCAACACCCCCCCGCCCCCAGTATCCACGTATTCAACAGGGAGTTGAATATTTCAGGGTAGGACTGAAGATCAAGATCTACGTCCCTGCCCGCCTCTCCACCACGTCGGCGGTGCTCTGGAGGGCAGGGGAGGGGAGCGGTGGGTGGGACGGCTGCAGGCAGCTACGTGTGCCAGAGCCCAAATTCCCCCAGCCACCCACTGCCTGTGTGTCACGCTTCAGTGCTGCCCGCTGGGCCTGGTTTTGCAATCTTTTTTCATGAGCACTTCTGACGTCTTATGAGCGTTGCAGAGTAAAACAAAATGTTCTCAAGTACTTTTCTCTGCTTCGGCCCCTCTTGTGTGCACACTTTGGGGCTTTGGAAATGGTATGTACGGTGGCTGGCATATATTTCTGATTCCCAAAAGCCGTGTTCATGCTCCTTGCAGCCCGTACACCCACCTCTCCCATATGCAAACCATCACGGACTACAGCTAAACCTGGAAATTATCTTCTCATTTTTCCGGGAATTCCAGCCCAAAATGCCAAAAGCACTAAGCTATGGGAGTACTGTAAAAGTTGCTTTTTGTTTCCATGAAGGCAAGAGTGTTCCAAAACCCAGACTAACTGTTATTTTCTGCAGACCAGTCATTCTCTATCAAAGAAACAGAATTTTCAAGACCAGACCTGCATGCTTTGAGCTCATCCAAGGTCTGGCAGTGCTGCAGAGACCAGAAGTAATTCTGAATCCATCATCTGCGAGAGGCAGCATAAATCCCTCTGGGGATTTAACAGACAACTGGAAAGTTGCCCATAAAGAGTTGCTGGATTTTTTCCCACCTTCCTACTGCAAGGTTTACAAGAACAGAGCAGTTATTTTCTGATGGATCCCAGGGCTAAGCAGGAGTTTGCTCTGCAAGTCCCATCTAGCAGAAAGCTGACCTGTCCCCAAAAAGAAACAAAAGCATTCTTGAGTTTGCTTGTGTTTGAAAGGGTGTGTGGGCCACAGGTGAGAAGTGCATGGGCAGGACAAGTCAGAGCTCCTCTGAGGAGTCATATGGGAGCAGTAAAGGGAAGAGGAGGGACTGAACAGATTCTCACCTCTTCAGTGTCAAGGTATTTCTTTTCAAGTTCATTGCTCAGACTTGATGGCAAAAGGCTTCCAAGCTTAACTTTTTCCAACTCCTCGGCTAAAACATGATCTTTTCTCATATCTCTGGAACAAAAAAGCCAAACAATCACATTTTTTCAAGGAAAGTGTAATTCAAGACAGCTGTTGATGAAAATTACTAACATTTTTTTAGGCTATCAGTGAAAAAACAGATGGAAACATACTGTCTTTAGTCCAGGCAGGACTTGGAGGAGCTGAATCTGTTCCAGGGATGGGAGCTGTGAGGGTGGGACCCCAAGCAACCCTCAGGAATGAAGTCATGTTCTGCCAAGCCCCTGAGCACCAGTCACGGCGCTCTGGTGGGGACGGGGGACCTGGAGGGAGCAGGAGGATCTAGCCCCAGGACACCACCTCTCTCCATCAATAGAGAGGTGACCAGATGAAAAGCTGGAGTCTTGTGGCTTGTTGGGAATGGAGTGGGCCGTTTCGTACCCCCCCACTGTCACGTCCCCACAGCGTGCTGGCTGAGTGGGGTGCGCCTGAGCAGCTTTGAGGGAAAGGACCTGCCAGCCGTGGGGGGCTCAGGCCAGCACTTGTTGGGGGGCTAATTTGGAAGCAGCCTCTCCTCCTGGAGCTGCAGAGAATAACCCTGAACATCGCCTGAGTCCTGTGTTTGCACATCACCCAGCTCCACATGGGTACCCTGCCATGTTTCCCACACACGGGCTGTTTCTGATATGACACTGGAAGCTGGGGCCAGGCTGTTGTGCAGCCCTCCTCCTCCTCACTGCTCCCTTTGCTGCTGGCTGTGGAGAGAGGTGGTTCCTCAGCAGACACCTGGACGTGGCCCCTGGGAACACCTCACAAAGCAGCTGCTGTCCTGGCCAACAGCATCCCCAGTGCCGGGCTGCGCTGCTCCAGCTGAGCCCTGCTCCTTGCAGCTACTGATTCCGAAACACACGCTGGTTCGGACCTGAATAGCCTGACCTAGAGCACAGCACTGGCTCTGGAAAACTTCCAGGATCAACACTGACTCATCGTACTCCATCAGTGAAACACAAGGAGGAAAAAGTGGAGGTAAAGGTTGAACGGCTTTAGAATAGCTGAAGAAATATTGCTGGTTTTCATCTAAGAAATGAGAGCCCTCAATTCTCCATCCAGTACTATAAACCACAACAAGGAATATTTTCAGTTCTATAACATACAGGGCTTGTGAGGATGAAGGGTGACCCTTGGCTGATGATGTCCTCTTGCAGAGGTGCACCCTTTGGTCTCCTAACCAGGAGGAGAGCATAGACTGTGGGTAACATGTAAGCAACATCCTCCATGCCCAGGATAATTGCATCTCAGGTTGTTCTATTTATTGGCTGGCCTCTGGTCCAGAGGACTGAAATTTCCAAATTTTCCAAGAATGAGTGCAGGTCTGCAACTAGAATAGAGATCAGGGCAATGAACCTGCCCAAATTACCCAAGAGAAGCCCCAAACATCTGTGTGTATGTCTGTTGCCCAGAAGCCTGAGTGGCGGGGTCAGCCCTTGATTTACAGACTAGCAGCCTCAAGCGTGTCCCTTCCAGCTCTCCTGGCCAGCTAGTGTACATCAGCACAATGCCAGTGACACCAAAACCTAGCCAGGTGCCAGACTGCTTCGCAGTGATACCGATGCATAAATCAAGCAAATGCCTGGTTTTGCAGCCAGTGAACTTGTGTGATCACCAGGGATAGACATATGTAAAAGCCTCACTTACTTTGGATAAATGTTGTGCAACCATGAGAGGAGAAGGTATATATCCTTGTCTTCTAGGTGAGACTCAGCATTTTTCTTTGCCTGGGAGGCAAAATAATTGTGGTAGAGTTCAGCATATGTGCTGAACACATTAAACTCAGGAGGGTAAAGCTGTTTAATGTATTTCACAATTACTGTCAAATCTTCTTTCATTGTCTTTCCCATGTGCAGGAGGTTCTGTCCAACCGTAGAGAGGTTCTCAGTTCTAGGAGTATGGCTTGTGTCTTTCATTCGAGTCTCTACTGACTCCTTTATTGTAGCCAGCCAAAGCTGTTTCCATTTTCTAGGTCTAAATTGCATGTTTTGGTCAGGTAGATTCTCTGACATGTAGTTCTGATCTTCTTTCTCCTGCTCTTTCAGTGCCTCTACTGCCTGCTGCAGCAGGTCTGGGTTTGTTTTTGCTAGCAGTATGGAGTCTTTCAAGATGCTGAAGACTTTGTGCTTCAGAATTTCGTAGACAGACTCGACATCTTTCTGACTGGTGCTCAGCCCCTCCTCGCTTTTGCTAGACAGGCTCTTCTCCAGGACAATCAGCTGCTGAGTGGCGTCACAAAGCTTTTGCTCTTCAAGGAGTTCCATGACTTGTTTGACTGGTGAAATAAGAACAGCCTTTCTTTACCCAATAGCGAAGGTTTAAATTTCTGTTTTATAAAAACTGATGGCTCTGAAATACTTTTTAAAAAAAAAGTTTATATTTCTATAATGCTAGATCTTAGACGCCTTTACCATACAGAAAATCTTTCTGTTTATTTAAAGATAAGTTTATTTCTAGCTTGTCATTAACTGGGGCAATGGAAATTTGCATACCTATTACCAATGTGTTACACATGGTCAGATATTCATGAGTTACCTATAATTTTTTCCAAAATTTAGATGTATGGAGTTTTATTTATTTATTTGTTTGTTTGTTTGTTTATTACCCCTGTTCCCATTAATATGACTCCAAGTCAGAAGCATGGCTTTAGGAAAAATGTAGATGGAAAGATGTAGCTAAATAAGATGTGCTAGAGGAAATACCACATGGGTTTTCCAGAAATAGGTTGGCACAATCTGACCTGTGAAATTTTTTTGGAGGACACATTTAGCAGGCAAGATAAATACAATTGAACTATCTTATCTGAACTACAACCAGTTACTTGATATGATTCAACCTGGGAAATTATTAGTTAAACTGGAGAAGTTGCATCCCAAAATAAGTTTTGTTAAGTGTTTAAGGTTTGTACAGAAAACTCTGGATGGAGAAAGCTTACATTATTCATGAAACTCATCTTACTCTGTATTCTCCTTAGAGACTGCGTCACAAAATCTGGGAGTGCCCTGTTGGCATCTGCTGATTGTACAAAGTTCAGAGACATTATTGAAACTGAGGGCTTGGTGTATTATATAGGAACAACAGGATAACTTGAATAGTAGATGGGCTGAAATTTAATAGCCCAAAGTATAAGATACAAATTCAATAGAACAAAAGTTACTTAGCAACAAATAGGATTTTCTGCTGCAAGCTGGATGTGAATCAGCTTGAGATGGAGGAGCAAGAGAGACGCCTGGAGAATTAGTAAATCATTACTGTGAGGTGATGGTGAAAATCACAGATATGACCCCAGGATGTATCCAATGAGGAGTCTCCAGCTGAGATAGGAAAATAGTAACATATTGTACTAGGCATTGGTGGTATCTCATCTGGAATATTTTCTGCAATTCTGGTTGCTTTATTTCATAAAAGGACATTGGGAATGTGTCAATGCAGCAGTAAGAACAAAGGCATGCAGGGCCTGTTTTCAGTGCACTTGGTTCATTTAGCTGAACAAATTCAAGGCTGAGAAGGAAAACCACCAGTTAGGGAAATCATTTGATACATGGAGTATATGCCAATTAGACAGGTAAAGTCTTGCCTGGAAATGAGAGAATTTGTACTAAAACAGTGAGACTTTATAAGAGCCCCCAAGTAAAGGAGGAAGAACTAAGAAGTTAACTTATTTTAAGGTACAGCTTGCTAAGTTTATGAACCAGGTAATGAGATGCGTCACCTGAAGTGGCAGGTGAGCCTTGAAATTGCCAAGGGGCACTTTCCTCTCCAGTTCTGGGTTTCTCTGAGCAGGTATTTTTCTACCTCTCTAGGCACCCTGAAGGGACGGTGCCCGTGACTGGAGGAACTGTATGTTCATATACCAGCCCTGGGAAAGACCTTCAGGTGCTGCTTACTGCTGTCCTGGGGGGAAGAGGAGATTTCACAGGGTAGAGGTTTCATGGAGGAACAGAGCAGAGAGGTATGCCTTGGCTTCTTGCCCACCCATAGATCTCTGTGCCCCATAAAAGATAGAAATAAGTTTAGTTTTGGACAGAAAACCTGCAAACTGGCTGTTCCTCAAGGAGTGAGCCCTTGGTACCGAAGGACTAGGACTTGAGGTCATGTCTCCTTCAGCCCATGTTTCCCCAGGCTCCTTGGCCAAGTCTCATCAATCTGTCCGTGCCCTTGTTTCTCAAGGGGACAATTCTCCAGCTCGTGCAGCCCCTCTAGAGGTAACTATGGCCTATGAGGCGGTGCAAGGAGGATGGAGGAGCACTTACCACTGGGTGGCTTGATCTTTTTCATTTTCTTAAGTGCATTCGTAAGGATTCCCTTTATTCCTTTCTTCCCCTTTTCAGGGCTGTCCCCAGCAGAGGTGCAGCTCCCGTTGCTTGTGATGGAAGATGCACGTGAGGGTCTGCAGGTTGCCTCTGGCCTTTCACTCATCTTTTGCCGGTCCCTGGACCAGATCTCGTCTCCAGAAGGTTCAGGACAGACAGGGGCTTGATCAGCTACTGATGTCGACGGGGTTTCAAGCTGCCTGTTTGCACCAATGCAACCCTCTGATCCATTGCGTATTCCAATAGGACCACTTTGGAAAAAAGGTAACATTTTCATCATTTTCCTTCTAGCCTGTAAATGTCAGAAAGAACTGGTCAGATTATAGCAGTTTGCATAAAAACTACCATGACACGATGTGTCAAGGTGCATTCCCACTAAAAAACACATACTTCTGGAAAGAGTTGTCCCTGTATGGGTGGTGTGGGGAATGCTACCCACACCTGGTATGGGCACAGCTCTGCAGGACAGCTCCTGGGCAGCATCACCTCAGGTAACTGAGAGGACAGAAACAGCTCTCTGGTCTATTAAATAGATTAGAGAAAATCAGTGAGTGAAGTTAAGGGAGATTCAGATAGCCTGATTTGAGACCTCGAGCTTCTCTGGATACGGGAGAGCAGGGCTCTCCCACGGGATGCTGTGGGAGTACGGATGTGAACAGTGATGCTGCACATGAGTGATGTGGGTGGGTGGGACAAGCGTCCTGTGCTTATCCAAAGCAACCATGAAACTCCCATACTTTTATATGGCATCGGGATCAATTTCCACTTTCCTCAGAGCCTGTTTTTGCTGATCTCACCTGGCTGCAGATCTGTTTGTGGAAGCACCCATGTAGCTTATTGCACACCGAGTTTGCAAGTGCAACATGAAAATGAGATGAGCCTACCAAGCCAGGTACGTGTCGGTCTTTGCTGAGCAAAAGTCCTGCTGGTTTAACTGTGTCCCCATTTAAGTCAGTAGTAAAATTCTTAGCTTTATTGAGGAGAACTCCCAGAGAAGGTGGCTGAGAGTTCAGAAACATGAGGATCAGGGTGGTTTAGCCTTGTTTAAACGGACATTATCCTGCCAGAGTCCTGCTCTACCACCAACACTCATGTGCTACAAATAATTAACAATAGAAATCTGTTATTGCATCAATTTCTTTTTAGGGTTTATATTTAGAATTATTTATGTGCATGTATCAGATAATATATTGCTATGTATTTATTTGCATAACTATATTCATTTATATAATTATTATGATTTTGTAACGATTGTAAACAAATAAAGTGACTCATACCTTCCAATCCTTGTTCTAACAACTCTCTTTTTTAAGTGACTTTCTGGGAAACCAATGCACTTCTGTATGAAGAACTCTCAGGCAAGTTTTGGCTTACTTGTACTGTGTAAGGGTAGAGGAATTAGGCTTTAAATAAAGGAAGAATTTGGCTTTATTTATAAGACCACAATGTGGTGATTTTCAAATACCGTTGCCAAGTTTATACTGTTGATATGTATCATGCTGATACAAACCATGATACTTATTTCTGGGCAAACTGGTAGGAAGACTGTGGCTTTTCATTTTAATTGTGATTCCCCCTGCTGTCTCCCGACAGCTTGGAGAGCTTTGAAGCATCAAGTTAGTGGTAGCAGCCAGGTGATACAGAGAGCAGTTAGAGCCTGGCATCACTAAAAGCTTTCCTGCTCTGTGCTTTGGCTGCCAAGTCATGTTCAGGATTAGTAATGCTATTGCTTTTAAAACACAATGAAGGTGAAAACTCATTTGGGAAGGAGAGAAAGGCCGGGGGTGGGGGTGTGTGCATGATCTGGCTGGCTCTCAGCTAAACTGGTGGTCTGTGACCCAGGGCAAAGTGTGAAGCAAAACCTAAGGTGGGTGGCGGAGTCCTCGTGGCCCAGGGCTGTGGGACTGGCTGCGTGGGCAAGCAAAGGGGGCCCGAGCAGCAGAACTGCCCAGCCCCAAGTCATGGCTGGAGCCACGCACCTACTCTTGCCCTAGAACATTTACTGGGGAGGGAAGGAGGAAAAACCCCCGCGGTTCACTCTGGCTACTCGAGTCAGGACACCCCACTAGAATCCTAAAAATGGTGGAAAGGAGCTCATTTTTGTTACATTTCCATTACAAAAAATTATCATGGTAACAGAGATTCTCTATAAGTGTTTGGGACTTTCTTAATTTTTGTAGGGCTATTTTTCTAGCCTGCATTTCCCAACACAATGCTGTGTTTAGATTCATTCTGCCAAAGCCCTTCCTGTTTGTTCAAGCTGAATCCTTTCTCTCTCTCTTATTATTCCAAACAAAGCATTTATTATTTCCTTTTTTAAAAATTATTATTTGGCTTCTAAACAAAGAAAGTACTTCTCCCTTTCCTATAGCAAAAGGTGACTTTCACAGTCTTTTGTTTTGATGAATGATGATCAGAAAAGTGGATTTCGAAATGGTTCTGCTTCTTCTTCAATACTAAGACAAATGCCATGCATCTTTGAAAACCATTGGAACGACACTACATATAAAAGAGTCCATAAGGGAAAAATTAAGGTGGTTAAAATCTTAGTTTTTAATGTCTGGCAGAACTTTGTCCTGGTAACTCTGTGATGGGGCTGGCGCTGCCGGGGCGAAGCGGGGAGCTGGGCATGTGTGCGGGGGATGGCAGCCTGGGCCAGCCCCTGCGGTCCCTCAGCAGAGTGCACCAGGCCATCGTCTGCAGCGTGTCCCCGGGCCCTGCCCTGCCCAAAAAAGTCCCACAGCCAGATAAGAAGAAAGATAAAAATCAACTCCTATGTTTTCACCCGGGGACTGCACATTCAGCAGCGGGAGAACTGTTGGCAATAGTGGCATGTCAGGGCGTGCTTTTTCATCTTGAACTAATAAACGCCAAAGGAGTTAAGCATCTGAGCAAGGCTGTTGATTCTCACTCACATTTGCCTTGAATCCTTGCCCAATGTTTATCACTTTGCTGCTGCTGGTTTGCATATGTTTGTATCTGCAGCAGGAAATACCAATCAACCCCATCTCCTACTTCTGCCTTGAAATGCAGCCTCAGCCACTTATGGCAAGTGGTACCAAAAACTGCCCCTCCATTTCTTCTCTTTATCACTAAATGGTGAAGCACTTACTGTAAGAAATGCCCATAAGAAACTTCCTGTAAGAAGCTTTCTCACAGAAAAAAATCCCACCACTTTCTGCGAGAGACACTCAGCTAAAGGAGGTGGCACTGGTTGCAGCCACCCCGGGCAGGAGATGCTGTGCCCGCGCTGCCCCGTGTGCCCCCCCCACGCCCGCTGTGCTCGCAAACCAAAGCTTGTTAAAACTCCATCAGGCTCCTAATTATTTTAGCAGTTAACACTTTGAGAAATGCTGAATCATTTCCTAGGCACAGAGCTCAAATCCAAGTCTTGGGAAGTTTAATGATTTAAGGTCAAGACTTGACATAGATCCCAACTCATTATTATTAATAATTCACTGTTAATTTACTGTTATCATCAACATCAACGTTATTATGTGGCACTATAGTTTGTGCCAAGGGAGTCTTTAGCTCTAATTATTTTTGACATAGTATGTTCAGCTTATTGTTTCCAACCAGCAGAGTGGCACAGCTTGCATAGCATCCTCTGCTACCCTACAGAGAGCCCTGTACCATCAGGACAGCAGCGCTGTCGGCTGCTGACGTGGCTGGAGCGGGACCCAGCGAGCTCTCCGCGTGGGGCTGATCACGGCGCGTACCTCCGAGCTGGAGCTTTTCTGGGGTGTGCATCAAGGGTGAGGGAAACACCTGGAGCAGAGCCACCACACAGAAGGCACAACCTGAGCTCTGGCCATGGTGGCTTCCTGTTTTCTCCTCTTCCTCCTCAAAGGAAACAGCTTTCACACCGCATGCTTAGGAATGAGTTCATTCGTGAGGGGTGGCTCATGGTGGGCCAGAGGGCACTCAGGGGAAGAGATTTGCTAATTACCCCTATTTTGAAATTTTTTGCTGAACTTTTTCTTGAATTCTTTTTTCCTGAGCTGCTGCCAGTATTAACAAGCATTTGTTTGGATTTTCAGTCCACTCCAGCCTGCTGACATCCTAGGTCACAAGGATTTATGTCTTGTTTTAGTGGAAATCCCCCAGTCTCCCATAGCCTTTCAGAAAGCCAGAGTTATTTAGCAAAATTTGTTCCCTGCATTTACATCAGCCTTTTCTCCCCTCATCTGCTTCCCATGAAAGTGGGGTCACCCCTGCCCGCATGAGAAAATCGCACTGGGTCACACCATCTTTTGAAGCAGTAAAGCAGTGCAGCCAGGTTGATTGTACCTCAGACTACGTAATAACACACCAATAAGCTGCTAAAAAATCAAACCAAAGAGTCTACAGAGATGCCAGACCCAGTCTTTGTAAGTTGGGAAGCCCTCCTAGGAGGTGGGGTTTTTCCCTACCAATTTTCGTTAGCTGGATTGGGTACTGAATGGAGACACCGTGAAGCTGGGGGCTCCTGCTTGGCTCTGCCTGGGAAATCACAGTCCAGCGATGAGCTGAGCCACCAACGGCCCCACCCTGAGGTTTTTCTGTGCTGCTCAAATCCATGCTCCTGCTCGCACACCCCTGCGGGACACCCACCACCCCATGTGGTCCAGCACCATCCTCATGGTGGCCAAGCTCTGCTCCTAATGTGGTCAAAAGCTGAGGGGAAACGAAACTCATCTCCAGTAAAGAAGTCCAGGCAGGAGCAGAGCCACCCCAGGGGACCCAGTCCACATGCCAGGCACCCCTATGAGGCTGGGGGTGGTGGGGGACACAAGGGACCTATGGGAATGGTAGTGGCAGACCAGGCAGAGGATCCCAGGGCATCTCACCTGGTGTGAGATGCTTTAAACCAGCATTAAACCATGTTATCACCTGTTTGGGGAACAGCATAGATAGAGCTACACAGTGCCTTGGTTATTTTTAAACGAGGATTTGGTTTCCTTAAATTACTGAAACACAACTGAAAACGGTCCTGTAAACCAGAGTCTCCTGTTGTTGGTGAGAATCTTTCAATCAGCAAAAGAGAAAATTACACATATATATTGTTATTGGAAAAAAGCAGAGAAAGCACACTGTGATATGCTGCTTTTTCTTCTCGCTTCAAATCCGGGCAGTATCATTTTAAACTGCTGCTGCTGAAAGAGAAACCAGCTGCAGCTGTTTAGGATTTTGTTTTCATATTACTATCCCCAAAGCCAAATCCTGCATTCAGGCCTGGAGTTTGCAAAGTTCACTGCTAGAGCTAACAGAGACTGAGAAGATACACAAATTCTCCAGGTGCCGGACTCAGAGCTCCTGGAGCGCTTGCCTCTGCTGGCATTTTCAAGCTCTTTGGCTTTCCAGGCCTCTTTTTACAGAGAGGGTGACTGAAGCAAACCCAAACCTCAGTTTCCCAAAGCTCTCTGCTCCAGTTTGATGGGCTTTATCAGAACTGGCAAGCCTCAAAGCCCTTTGGCAGGGACAGGTGGTTGAATGCTTTGGAGAATAACTGTTCCTTCAGGTTTTCTGCTCTGAACTTGGGTGTGACGGCAAGGGACTGTGGCTTCTAGATGCCATACGACTAAAGCCATATGCTCCAGTCACAGAAAGTCTCTTCCTTACTTTGTAGCAGCCTCAAGAAGAACTCCTACATTAAACATACACAGGATTCTAACACTGAGGTTGTACCTTTCAATGTGTGCCCGAGGAGCTGATGTGGTGGATGTGGGGTGGCTGCCCAAGGACAGGGGGAATTTTGGCAGGCTCTGCAGTGCTCTAGGAGAAGGCAGGTCATAAGGGCAGTGGGATTTCCCTGACTAGGAAAGGAAGTAGTCACAAAACGACAAACATGGCAATGTAGAAATTCGCCTGCTTGGCACAGTGACCCTGCCAGGGTGTAGGTCACAGGGGCTGCCTGAGACCATACAGGATTCAGTCACTGAAATTGTGTTTTTCCAGTGCAGCTGGGCTGAATGAATCACAATCCAACTATTTCCCTGTCATTTGGGGGAAAACCACTTCCTTCCGAACAGAGACAAAGAGGAGGGGGTGGGAAGTGCCAGGCTAAATCTGGATCCTGCTGCCTGATCTGGGTTTAGGATCTTTGGTGCCCAAGATCTATGTCTGGGGAGGTCTACTCTATGTTGGGGAAGGGACTAGGGGAGAAACGAACAGGAGTCACCGCTCACAGCCTGTGTTCATGCCCTGAAATTTGGAGGATGAGCAACAGAAATCAGACGCAGCTGTCACAGTGCAATTGCCAGACACATATCCTTGTGGTCCCCAGCCCTGGGATGTGTCTGGAGCTGCTGTCCTTCTCGCAGCGGCGCGATTTATTCCCTATTCTGGCAATTCCAAGGTGGGGCTGAAATCCATCACTTCGTCCGGGAACCCATCCTTTAGCACCTTCCACTTATTTCTCCCCTCTCTCAGCCACAACGGAGAGCCTTCGCTCTCAATAGCCTTGCAAGAAGCGAGCGGGGGAGGGAGGCAGAGGGGCGGGAGAAGCGGGAGAGGCACCGGCTTTACGGGGCAGGGGAAAGCCCCGAGCTCCGCGGGACGGACAGACGGCACGAAGGACTTACCCTGGTGCGGCTCCGGGGCGGGCTGGCGGGCGGCTGCGGCTGCGGGGCCCCGGGACAGCCCGGCTATAAGGGGAGGGCGGGGAGGCGGGGACCCGCCGTAAAGAGCCCGCTGGCTGGGAAACTCCGTCCGCGCCTCCCTTCCGAAGATGGGTTCAAGCCAAAAGGAAACGAGAAATCCCCTCCGACGGGGAAGAAGTCCCCGTGGAGGGAGGGGATGGCTGGCCCCGGGGGTGCTGGAGTCTGCCCCGGGGCTGGTCGGTGCAGGGGAGCTGAGCCCCTGACGAACCCCCGGTTGGGGTACGAGGCACCCTGGCCGCACTGCCCCGAGGGTTTCTGTGTGTCCCATTGCAGGCTTGGACACCCACCCTTAAGGGATGGAGTAGGTGCTTCTGAAAGCTCTGCTCCCTGAGCAGGGCGCTGTTACGGGCGGCTGGCAGGGGTGAGGTGTGTGCCTGAAAGCACAGCTTGCCATATCGGGGTCCTGCACCGCGCCCAAGGTGAAGTGCCTTCCCCAGAGCAGGGCTTGCGGCACTCCCAGGGGACATGAATATCATCAAGAACCTTGAACGTGGTGGGTTGAGTCCCTGCCTAGGGACCAGGAGGCACAGTCTTCCCTCCTCACCCCAAAACCTCAGAACCTGTACCTTCTACTTGCAGGAGCGACATTTGTCTTCCAGATTTCTGTCCCTGATTTCCTAGGCACCTGCTTCCCTGGACGTGGTGATGAGGCCATCACACTGGAGAAGCACATGTGCTTCCACGACAGGGGATGGCTGGAGGAGATGCCTGGGTGACAGTGATGGCTGTGGGGTGCCATTGCAGAGAGTCCGTGAAGGCTGCCAGGGCTGTGCCATCCCTTGCTTAGATAGCATGGAGCATCTTCTGTACCCACCTGGGTGAGATCTGGGCTGAAGCAGCTGCCCTGCAAGCAGAAAATAAAAATATTGTGGTCCTGCAGGGCCTACCTACTCTCTCCTTTCCCAAGAAGCTGTTGTGGGGCAGGGAGTGGGGCAGTCAGCAGGTCCCACTGCCTGGAATGATTTCTGTTTTATGTCAGATAGCTGTCATCTGATGCAAAATGCAAAAAAAAATAGTCCAGAAACTTAAAGCTGAGTGTGAACCGTGAGCTTTCATGGTGCTGCTGATGCTCACACTCAGCTCTGGTCTGGCTGTACAAATTTTGGCAGGGCTATGCAGGCCCAGCATGGGGGGGCATCCCCCAGCAGCAGACGTGGTCTGAGACCAATGTTTGTGCTGGAAGACGTGTCTGGCTGAACGGGCACAGGGCTGGAGAGCAGATACTTCTCCCAGTCTGTGCCTTTCAGCAGACATGCTGCCTGACGGGGCTGGTGCTTTCCTCTCTGGGACACTTTCTCCCAAAAGACCACGGTAGCAGGGAAAAAACCCTTCCCCCCAGACAACGTCTGCCAAAACAGGAAACAGAAGTGGGGAGGCCGCCTCGATGGACAAGCCCATGATCTCCGGTCTCTGGAAAACACTGATTCATTTCAGGCCAGTCTGCAGCTGAGCTGGGTGGAGGGATCCCCTCTGGGATTGCCCCAGGGTTGGGTCCTCTTGCTGCTTGACAATCAGTGGTCAGAAACAACCACCATCATGGGACAGAAATGCTGGGTGCTACGTCAGCCTGAAAATCATTGGAAACATGAAATGGTGTGAAATTTGGCCCTGCAGTGCAGTAACTTTCTCTGTGCTTCATTGCCTCCTCCAATGACAATGTGAAAGGGAGAGGCAAGGTTTGTCATCTGCAGTTACAGCTGGTTTTGGGACAGCTCGGTGCAGCTGGAGGTGAGCTGGATGCTGCCTCCAATGACCCTTTTGTGCAGGAGGCAAAGGGATGTGGTTCTTGGGAGGCACTGGGGAGGCTGGTGTAGCCTGGGGGTTGCACACACATGTAGGTCTGGGCACGGCTGGACAGGCAGTGTTCATGGCTGTCTGAAAGCAGAGGATGTTGTTCTGGGTGCAGGGAGGACCCTGGGGCTGGTTTGTTTCTCCCATCCTCGGTTATGTGATCTCTGCAGGTCCCAGGGGTGTCTGTCCCCAGGGGTGCTGTGAATCTGCAGCGGGAAGCGGCTCAGTGACACATGTCTCAGACCCACTGAAACCTCTCTTTAAATATTCAAGGGGTCTTTGCATTTGGCTCAGCAGTAGCGATACTGTTTTATGAGATCGATGTCTTATCCCCAGATTAATACAGGAGGCCGTGGCTGTAGGAAACTCCTACAGCAAGCAATGTGGGAAGGCCCAAAGGAGTCTGGTGCTCAGCTGGTGTTAGCAAACGTAGCTGCAAATCTGCGGGCATCCTTGGTTTTCTTGGATAAATGTCTGTACAGAATGATTCATGTGGGATCCAAAGTAGATTCACATGGTGGGATCTGTTGCTGGTCCTTGTCTTTAGCTACTGTAAGTTAACTTCAGTGGGGTCAGGGCAATTCTGTCAGCAGACTGGGGAACAAGAAGCATCCTGTAATTGCATCTTAAATTAAAAGCTTAGAGTTTAGGTGTCATTATTCAGGTGCCCTTTTTTACCCAAAACAAACCTATCACTGTACTTTGACCACCTGCTGATACACCAGCACGACACTGCTTGTCTATGTAGCCTGATTTCCAAGACAGGCATCTTGTATTTACTTATATAATATTGGGTAGTAGCTAACCAAGTTATAGCAGGCTGCACATCTTCTAGTGCTGCACAGAAATTTTTCTGTGCTCTGGAACTACTCAGAATATATTGCGTAGAGCTGTGCTGATATTCTGTGTTTATGCTATCTAAGAAGCTATCTTAAGTGTGATTTTCCCCGCACAACATCCTTGTCTCTGAATTGGACAGATGGACCAGTCAGTGGATAAGGAATTGGGGGATCAACAGCTGAGGTCAACGACTCGATGTCCACGTGCAGAGCAGTGATGAGCGGCGTTCCTTAGGGGTCCGTGTTGGGCCCGGCGCTGTTTAACATCTCTGTCGGTGACATGGACAGTGGGATCGAGTGCACCCCCAACAAATTTGCCAACAACACCAAGCTGTGTGGTGGGGTGACACACTGGAGGGAAGGGATGCCATCCTTTGCAGTAAACAATGAAAGATTTGTCTTACCTGTAAAAATGAAGAGACTATAAACAAGAGGTGTTGATAAGAAGGTTATTTTTGAAGTGATGTTTGATTTTCCTCTTTCAGCATGCTGAAGAGCTGTTATCCTTCATCGCTAGCTAAAGGTGTGTCAAGAAGGAGATTGTTATGAGGGTAAAGGTTTCCTTCATGGAATCCATTAATTCAATATGTTTATTCATTGAACAGTATTTGAGATTTTGTTCAGGCTTGTTTTAAATGGCTTTATTACCAGACAAGGGAACTATTAGTTTTCCTGTGGGATTTTCCATGAACTTAACGTATTTGTCCTAAGTAATTTCAACTGTGCATGTTTCAGTGATAGAGAAGCAGCAGGTCTGGGTGCAGGTGGTTAGCAGCAGCCCTCTGGGTGGGTAAACACCACCCTGTCACCTTCCACAGGGGATTTGGGGACCATCTCCTGGAGCTGTTGGGGCACACAAGCCCAAGTAGAGCTTGAGAGCATCAGAAAATGTGGGGCTGGACTGGAAAACCAGGGTCAGGTAATGTCCAGCAGCTCTTCCAGGAGGGATGGGGTGTGCAGCTGCTTGGGGAGGGGGGGAGATGCCACCATGGTGGCTGACCTCCCTGCAGTGCCGGGGGAGGCCCCTGAAGGAGCATGTGATGGGGACGGCATCTGCTGTGCCCTGAGCTGCTCATACCTGGTTGCTTACCTGCTCCAGTGAACGGAAATACGGCTTTTATTTCTGCCCACTGTGGGGTATTTTGATAGAAGTGGGGGCATGTGCAAACAGGGGTAACAGGAGAATTTGAGTTCCTCGTTAAACTGTGGGGGCAAAAAGCCAAGACATCACACCAACCACATTTAACTGGCTCTCTCCAGAAATTTATAAAGTTTGGGGTCAGTGAAAGGGCTGAAAGTTTGAGTTCTGATGACTGACTCAGACCGTCAGGCCAGAGCAATGGCAGCTAGGCCGTCAGGGGCCCCGGCTCCCCTCCCTGCGTGGAGGGACGTGGCAGATCAGTAAGCTGTGGAGGAACTTTCTGGCTCAAAAGGCACTGTAACTGCTCAGCAGCTGAGGCATAACAGCTGGTAACTGGTGGGAGGTCTAACGGAGATGGATCCAGCTCTCAGGACTGTTGTGCATTTTAACTCGGACCACTCAGGTCATAAAAAGCTTGCTTGGATGATGTGCTCACCAAGATATGTTCCTTTTGATCGATTGAGGTGTCTTCCTCTCTGGTATTCATAATGACTGCAAATAATGGAAACAAGAATTGTTTTTCTCTGTTAGTGACCAGGCTCAGAAGAGCTGTGATGATGTACCCAAATATTGGCTTTATAGCATAGGAACAGGGTAGTTGTGAGCAGCAGGAACAGATCATGGGAAATGGGAAGTGAGGGGTCTTGAGTTCACCGTGTAATATCCCAAATCACCAAGATGAGGTTTTCGTTCCTCTTGCAGTTTCTCTATGTGTCAATGAATTGAGAACCTCCTAGGTTGCAGCTAAATGGAATTCTAGATGTCCTATGGCCCAGCTTCAACAGGTGAGTGGAGAGTATCTCCTGGGACACGAGTCTGAAACCTTGAAGGCTGACGGGACTGTTGTTTCTAGCCACTCTGAGACATGTCCTGTGAGCTGACAGGATATAACCTCTCATTTTAACTCTTATTTCATGAACTATTTCCCTGGCCCAACTTTGTTTTTATTTGTGCCCCACAATCCTTGATAATTACTTATTTGCAATGAATTCTGCGTCTGTAGACTTGTGCTAAGTTATGTGGTTTTAAGAACACCATCCCTTGGCTTTCAAAATGGTCACAAAAACACACCAAGGGACAGATTTCTGTTGTCTTTGAAGCCTACTCATGGTCTTCTTTAAAGAACTCCTTGTGCAGGTTATGTTTTGTGGTAGGCGAGGAGCAGACTTTTCCCTCATGTCTGTGATAGCTCAGTCTGAGGTTAAGTGGAACCATCAAGTTGGCCAATTCTAGTAATATCTTACTGGACAAAAGCAGCACCTAACTCAACACCTTAATGCCAGACAATACAGAGTATTTTTTTAAGTATTGAAGGACTTGCCCACACTGGTGTTCTCAGAT